CGCCAACTAGGTGACACATGGCGGCTGCACATGTGGCATGTATGGAAGACTAGTAGCATAGAGATGCTCCTAGGATTCTCCACCTTAATAGAGAGCTTAATGGTGCACTTATGAGTCACATAATGGGTGACATTTATAGAGTGCATAATGGGGGGACTTAATGGGGTGTATTGATGTAGAGGGACATTATGAGGGGCATTGATGCCTTGTATAAGGAGAGGCCTATATAAGGAGCCATCTCCCTCACTTGTAACTCATTCCATCATTTTTGAGAGTAATACACACTAGAGAGTTCTCCCAATTCCTTTGTCTTGTTCTTGCTTTCTTTGCTTGTTGTGAGTTTGAGAGAAGGCTGCCTAGCACTCTAACGGAATTGAGAGCTAGGGTCGCACGATCGAGAATAAGGTCGTGACACTACCCCTCAAGGGATCAGTTTTTTGACACCCTATGTCTGATTGGTCACTTTTCCATTCAATCATTGGTAAGTTGTATTAATGAAAGTTGTTTTTTATTTTATTTTAATGTTATCTTGTAAATTGGAAAGCCTTAATTGTGATAATAATTACGGATGGGGAAGTGGCAATATAGTTGGATGGAGATAATAACCTTTGGGCTCCCATATTCTCAATTTCTATTTCCCCCTCCCACCCCCATCATATGCGATTTCACTTCACGGCCGACGGGCGACGATACATTTTCTTCATCGCTCCAAGGCTGGCGAGATCCATCAGTTGCAGAGATGGATGATTATATGACCGAGTTGGATAGAGGAGGTTAGTTAATCCACAAGTCAACCAACAAACGTTGCTTGGGATTTGACCTCAAGCTAGAGTATACCAGCAATGACGATGATCAATTCAAACTTGGGCAGTTCAGCAATGACGACTCTGACGAACGTCCTGATGATCTAGACGATGAGCTATACGTTGAGCATATGGAGAATGACGTCAACATTAATCATATGGCAAGTTCCGATTCCGCCCCTAACGTCGTGCATATGCCTGATGTCGACGCTGCCGCGAATGTTGAGCCGGTTGGAGTCCCGGAGGAACAACAAAAAAATCTCAGTCAGCATCCATACTCATGTGCATTCGACCTTTCAAATGAATGAGTACCACTGTAATGGTATTTTGCATCATTGAAGTGACAGTGTATCACATAGTTCTATCGCTCCATATGTTTTAGTACCACTGCATTGGTATTTCTCACCCTAATGACAATTTTGTTCTACACACAGGTGTTGGTTCTGACTATCATTACACTGGTAGTTGTTACTAGTTCACATAAACATCTTTTAAATATGCTAAATAATTTGTATTTTGTGTAGGAAAACAACCTTGGTCTACCATCGCTGACATTCCTGACGAAGATCCCAAGAAATCGATGAACTAGAGCCGAAAGGGAAAACATTGAAGAAGAGGATGAAACCTGCTGGGGAATACGCTGGAGAGAAAGATAGAAAACTAATGCAAGATGAGATCAGACGTAAAAAAGGCTAAAAATTAGTAGGGGTGCATCTTTTTTCCTATGAGTTTGTACTTTTAAAGTTCAGGAATTTGTCGTTTGTACCTTTTTAAAGACACAACAAGTTTGGTTACCTTCTTTAAATCTCATGTAGTTATCTTTGTTCACGACTATTGTCATATAAATGTATTTGAAACCACAACGATCCTAATACAAAAGCACAATCTATATTGGTATATATACCACTGGACTGGTAGATGTAACACTGGTTTGGTAGATGTACCAATGGACTGGTACATGTATCAGTCAAGTTTTGTTACCTCCTTTCAAAGTAAGGAGTCAATTTCCCACACAGCTTTTTAAAGACACAGTAATTTTGGTTACCTTATATTGTCATATAAATGTATTTCGCACAACTTCAATGGTCCTAATATGAAACCACAATCTGTACTGGTAGAAGTACCACTTTACTTGTAGAAATACCACTTCATCGGTACAAATTCCGATCGACTAACACTTGTACCACTGAACTAGTACACATAGCACTCAACAAGTACTCATACTAACTACAACATGCAAAATATAATTCTGGCACAAGCACCACCAATGTAAATATTCAATCAGATAACAAAATAGGGACTTCCCAATAATAGCACCAATAACCGTGTTTCATTGGGGTTCAAAATCAGGGAAAATGCCAACAAAATATAAATTATCCTCTGAATGCAAATAAACATAAAGTCATCATCCATGGTTAGGGATATTGTATCCACATCGAACTTGTTGACCAACCATTTCAAAAAGGGCTTATCGAACTTCTTCAATGCAGCTAAAAAAATCACCCAAACCCAGCTTCTTCAATATGTCCCTTCTCTCATCTGACACTACACCCTTAAGGATTTTAATTATTGAGTTGGGGCTGCACTTTTTACCGAAGATATCATCAGTATGTTCCTCTTCCCCCTATCCTTTTCTCCCTTCTCCCTTGTCTCACGACGGCGTTTTTTGCTGGTACCCGCACCGGAGGAAGGAGCATGACTTACCCCTACTTCCACCTGCCTTGAAACATAGGTTATAGGCTTCTTGCGCGTAGCCTTCTTTGTCCGCAGGCTTCTGCCCTGCTGGTTCCATAGGACCCGTTCTCTTTGTCCTTGCCATCCCTGCTGCGGAAATTAGAAATTAAGTCAATGATATGAACTATCAATTTAGTGATACTAGTAGTGTGAACAGTCACTGCAAATGTAGAACAAAATGACTATCGTTGTAGTGATACTAGTAGTGTTAACAGTCGATAAATTAAATCAATCAAATGCTAGTTCTAACAAAAAAAAATCATTTGAAACGAAACTATCACTGCTGTAGTACCCTTTATAAGACATACCATTGCACTAATAGTTCTGCACATATAGCCATTTCAAACGAAACTATCATTATTGTAGTACCTTTTGTGAGACACAATGTTTAATTTATACCATTGCACTGATAGTTCCACACATATAGACATTTCAAACGAAACTCTCACTGCTGTAGTATCTTTTATGAGACACAATGTTTAATTTATACCAAAGCACTGATAGTTCCACACATATACACCTTTAAAACAAACTATGACTACAGTGACACTTTTATTTTCCATATGAACATTTTATACCACTGCATTGATAAGCACAACTATCACTAGTGTGGTAGATAAGGTATACATATTAAATTTTCACTATCACTCCATTGATACAAACAAAACTACCACTGTGATAGTACCACTTCCTAGACTTCATAATCAAGCATTTTTACACCAACATATTCAGTAAGATACCCACAACAGTGAGCAAACTGGCATACCTCTGGATAGGACCACTTCCTAGGGTTGATAACCAATCTATGCCACTCAAGTGATAGACATGCAAGAAAAACGAAATAAAAAAAAATGTTATCACCGCAATGGTATACTAAAAAGAAGGAGATGATTAAATTGCTGAATAGTGGTGGTACATGCAGAAAACCCTCACCGTAGTAAGATCCTTTCGCCGCCACAAAGGGTCGCTCGAAGCTCTTCCGCGGAAGGACGGTCGTCAACGGGAAAAGAACAAGGCATGCGTTGATAAGAGCAAGTAGGTGAAAGGTGAGGGTTTGAGATGGAAAACGGAGGACGGGTAACAGAAGGGATGATCGGAGCGATGTTGTAAGGGCGGCAGGATGAGAGATGTTGCGGCGGCGGATTGCAACTTCGGGGTGGGATGACCTTGATGCTACGACCTGGAGTTTTTATGGCGGAAGACGACTGTTTTGGTAGACAGGGTGTGGGGAGTTTCTGTTTTATTGAAAGGGAAAGAGGAGGAGACGAAACAGGGTGATACAATGGGTTATTGATTTCAAATTAAGAATGCGAACCGCTTTTCCCTAGGTTCCCGAATTTCTTTCCCTTTCCCATGTATATTGGGTTAATTACTTCATTAATTACCAATCAACAACTGCTAACTAATAACAACCATTCGATTAACATTAATGAGATGGACGGTAAACAGATGGGGTGTCGAAATTCAGACCCCCCAAAGGGGTTGTCATGCTAACCGCCCCTTGTCGGGAGCCATTTTGTCGCTAAAAGTTGAGAGAGAAATTTTAATCACCGAGCCGGTGAATATATGAAAACTTTATGTTAGTACGTGAAGTGTTATAGACAATAAAATAAACTTAGTAAGATACACTGAAAGATACTTACTTGAGTCGACAGTATAAAATTAATATTTCATATAGGATATGAAAACATATCACGGTTGTTTGTACAAGGTGAAACTTGTAATATACAGCTATTTCGTTTTCCATAATGAATTACACTGATATTAATTTTTTGAACCATATATTTTAAATATTTATTCATGGGTATCTACTATATTATTATGGTATAACATACTTTGAATTTTTCTAATGAGATATCTTTATTTAGATAATGAATTAAATCAAGTTTAAGGTATGATATCATATCTTGGTCTAGTGGTAATACCTCTAACTTTGCCTCTAAATTCAAATTTCTCTTAACTAGTACCTGACCACAAAAAGTAAAAACGTATATTACCCTTATAAGAAAATAATTAACAAATTTATATATTGTAATTAATCATGATTCTTGCGAATTAAAATCTCAACACTAATTTTCATCCCCTCATAAAAAAAACATTGTACTAGTTAACTTAAACCCCTGCCATATTATTGGATTGTATCCACACTTAGTATGACTGTATGAGCCATACATAACATACATATGAATAATGAAGTACCCAGCCACATTGCCATTACCGTCAACTTTTATTTCCTTTTAAGTTTTAATGCATGTGAAGTTGTGAATGTACATGGGCGCTGGGTCGTGTTTGGGCCGGGCCCGCTTCGGGCCCATTTATTTCGTGTCGTGCTTGACACAGTCCGTCAGTTTTCGTGTCGTGCCATGGAAGCCCATTTGTCAACTTTGCTAGGCAAGGCCCAGACCCTGGCACGGTTCGAATCGTGCCGTGCCTATTCGTGCTCGTGCCATGCTCGTATTCGTATTTAATGAAAAGGACGAAAATTATTCGTGCTCGTGCCGGACTGGCCCATTTATTTTGTGCTCATGCCGTGCTAGCCCGTGGGCGGCACGGTCCGGTGCCCACGATATAGTTGTGAACATTTAAGGCCAAAGATAAAGTTGATAAACCCAACAATGGAGCCCAAATTAAGCAAACAAAGGCCTACCAACCAATATCAGCAAATAGCCCATAACTGTTGCCTATGCAGGCTTCGAGCATCCCCGAATGGAGGTGGGTAGCTTAGCTAGGTACCGGCACCATTGTCCTGAGTGAGTATTGACTTGACGAACTGCAAAACAGCAGATGCTAGCTCAGCTTGATGCAACTTGTATCCATGATCAGCCCCTTCCACGATGTGCAACTCGTGGTTTGGTATGATCTTCGCAAACTTGTACGCATCTCCAACCGGGATAACCTCGTCTGCAGATCCATGGATGGTCAGCACTCTGGCAGACACAGAGCGATTCACTGCCAAAATTAGTGATGTGCACAAACTAGAACTCAAATGAGAAGCTATCAAAGAGCAATGACAGAACCAAACAACGGTGCAGCGAGTTTCATTTTAACTCACCTGCAATCTTTGTCAATCTGCTGGCACGCTTTATGCATATTAATGTTCATTCGATCCATCAAATCTGCTTCAGTGACCCGAAACTTGACCTCTCCTGTACAATCCAAACAAGTTGTGGAAGATAAAAAAGCATTCAGCTTATACCAACTCATTTTCATTCCCTCCTTTGATTCAGTACAGAAAGAGTAACAAACTCACCTGCTCGATTCTTCACATCGATGAATCCTTCTCGCTTGATTCTTTCGAGAAAGTCTTCCCCAAGACGCTCCTTAATGCCCGATTTCAGGTCATACCGGCCTGAAGTATTTACGACTGCTCTTATGCTGTAGAACTTTGATGCATATAGAAGCACCACACCACCTCCTGCAGTTGCACATCATCATCCAACCACAATAGATGCAGCCTCGTTTCAGTACTTGGATTTGTGATTGATCATACACTGGAAGGAAGCAGAACAACAACTAAATGCTAAGCACCTCTGCTATGCCCAAGCATCACAGTGACAACTCGGTTTTCAGCAGCGAAGTGTTCAACTACAGAGCGCAAGTCATCAACTTCCTTCTTGTAGTTACCAAAAGCAAACGAGCCTTCACTTTCACTGTTTATTGGAAACCAGACATTCACACACGCACGCCAGGGGAAAGGTGAACTCTAAACTCTTGCTGGAAAATTTTGCTTACCCATTACCAGAAAAGTCAAAACGGAAGGCTGTGATTCCTTCCTTCTCCAATGTTGTAGCAAGATTTACCATGGCTCTATGATCCTGGAGGTCCGAAAGTATGAATCCAAATGCCTATTTATTACTTGCGGAAGTGATTGGTTTGCTACAAACTTACCTTTGAACATTGGAAGCCATGGCAGAGGACCACGATTTCCTTGGATCCAGAATCGTGCAGCACTCCCACCAGTTTCTCTCCGTGCTTGTTTGGGATTACGACCCTCTGCTGCAGAACCACTAACCAAAACAGTAGACACAGAGAAAAGGTGAAGTGGAAAAACGAACGAGTCAATGTGTAAGCTAAGAGGTCGCCTCTTCGCCAGTAACCAAATGAATTCGAACTACAATACCTGGGTTTTTGGTTGTTTGAGCCATTGTGGAAATAAACTCTTATCTTGCTCCTCCTTACTGCTGGGTATATCGTATATGAGATGGTGTAGCAGAATGAGAGGAAGTCAAGGAAAGTGTTCTCTTTTTTTATAAATAAAAAAAAAACAAATAGGTTGGTCGCATCCGGCCTGCTGGAATTTGGAAAATGAAAATCATAATTCTATTAACTAGTTTTGTGCCCGTCCGATGGGCGGCGAGTTCATTTGTTTGTACTTTTCTTTCTATTATTTGTCATTTTTTTCAATGGTATCAGATTCCTACTTTTCATATTTATTTATGATTGTACTCTAGGTTTTAATGATGATCAACAATAAAGTCAAACAACGTTGTAACTTCATCAATGCTTGGAAAATATTATTCATGACCATCAGAACTTTGATTGATCAACAATTGCCAACTTCGTAAGTTGTACATGGTTTAAGCTCGTGTACGCCACCTTACCGTACTCCTATAGAGTTGGTATTTAGACCATGAATTAACGGAATTCGGCACATGATGTTATACCATATTCTCTAATAGGTGAAACCCAGTCTTTAATTCTCTAATCCAAATTGTACGATTCATTTAATGAAAAATAGTAACCACCGATTCTTATTTTTCAAAATATATTAACATACAACTAATAGGTATGAATGAAGGTGCATATTACACCTCGAGTCTATGCTAGCCTTTTCCACCATTATATCAATGTACAACCAAACTATTCGGCTATGCTTCTTACCTTCAACATTGTACGAATTATATCAAAGCAAATGTTAGTTATGGAGACACTTTGTCTTCACTTCACATTATCCTCCAATATTAAATATGTGACTAACTGTTACTGGAATTGTGTGATAACTTAATACAAACATAAAGGTGCTCTGTTGAGCAGTCAGTATATTGAGTGAATTTACAGGACATCGTCATGATATGATCCCGCGTTGGTTTTACAGGACACCGGTCCGGTACGTCCCACCCTAGTATACATGACATCGGTTAGGGTATGATCCGCAACAGATTTATAGGACACCAGTCTAGGTACATCTGTGGTGGTATGCATGTCATCTACTATACTACCCGATGAGTGTATGACTTGGCAAATTAAGATGTAAAATGCAATGAACCTAACCATGCATGTGATTGAATCATTGTATAAATATTGCTTATGATGTGGTTAAGTGATGAGTTTCTATGATGTGATATATGAAATGTGCATGTCGATGATGATGGTTTTCTATGGTGTTTTATACAATGATTTAAGATTGGATGATATGATGTTTTGCTATGTTGGGACAGGGGTTACATGGTAATGCCAGTATGATGTGATATTTGATGCATACATGTTTAAACAGTGAGTTATCAAGAGACTGGGTGATGGTCCTTATGTTGTGATGTATGAATTCTTTGAGTTTGAAATGATGAATGTGATATGACATGTGGTGATGAATGGATGTTAAGTTAAGCCAGTAAGGTCTGAGAAGTGGGTGACGGGAAATTGAATGCTCCATGTTTTGCCATGGTCAATGAGAGGAACAATAAGTCATTTTGAACTATACTCTTAAAGATAACGGAAAAGATATAAATCATTATTTTATGAGTAAGGTTATCCGGCGAGTATAACTGGTTACTAAAAATAGTAATAGTAATATATGTATTAGGGTGTCACATTAAGTAAGGATTAAAATATTTATTTACATATCAACCATCATATATCCAATAGGTTAAGATTCGTTTACAAATCTTGCTTGATTTAGGTGTTATTCATCTGAATATGACTCAAAGTCGCACATCTACACTCATGTAGGAAAAAGAAAGGAACTTATGTCAAACAATAAAAAGAGAAAAGAAAGGAATTATAATTACATTAGAAAAAAGTAAAGACAATATGTTTTATAATTGTGCATAGAAGAATATTTAATGACGTACGAAAAATGAAAGGAGGAAGAAGTTGGAATAACATAAAAGAAAAGATAATGATATTTTAATATGCAAGAAATGCCAAATTCAATCCTAAAAATGACAAATGCATTATGTATATGTACATGAATTTTTTTATAACTTCTTTCACCAATTGGTCACAAACATATTTAATCCATATGACCATAATTAGGTTTTGAAAAATATACCAAAAACTTTGGTGACCATTGGTGTCTAGTGATATTCTTAAACGCATGAAATTTTGTGTATATATCACTGTAGCATATGAATGAACTATGTTGATATATTTAAGATATATATAGTAAGTATTTATAGTAGTATTTTCTAATAAATTGCAACATAACTACATTGGTTCACATATTTATAATAGTTTGTACAAACAAAATGTTAAATTCTTCGTGTTCTAGAAGACGGAAGAAGATTATACTTTACTTTTCATATTTCAATTTTAAAAGAAAATCACATGTAGTTTACAATTGTAGGAAAAGATAAGGATATTTTAATTACATTGTTCATAGGTTTCATTTCATCATTTATACACTCATGTAGGAAAAAGAAAGGAACTTATGTCAAACAATAAAAAGAGAAAAGAAAGGAATTATAATTACATTAGAAAAAGTAAAGACAATTTGTTTTATAATTGTGCATGGAAGAATATTTAATGACGTACGAAAAATGAAAGGAGAAAGAAGTTGAAATAACATAAAAGAAAAGATAATGATATTTTAATATGCAAGAAATGCCAAATTCAATCCTAAAAATGACAAATGCATTATGTATATGTACATGACTTTTTTTATAACTTCTTTCACCAATTGGTCACAAACATATTTAAACCATATTACTATAATTCGTTTTTGAAAAATATACCAAAAATTTTGTTGACCATTGGTGTCTAGTGATATTCTTAAACACATGAAATTTTGTGTATATATCACTGTACCATATGAATGAACTATGTTGATATATTTCAGATATATATATAGTAAGTATTTATAGTAGTATTTTCTAATAAATTGCAACATAACTACATTGGTTCACATATTTATAATAGTTCGTACAAACAAAATGTTAAATTCTTCGGGTTCTAGAAGACGGAAGAAAATTATACTTTACTTTTCATATTTCAATTTTAAAAGAAAATCACATGTAATTTACAATTGTAGGAAAATATAATGATATTTTAATTACATTGTTCATAGGTTTCATTTCATCAGTTATACACTCATGTAGGAAAAAGAAAGGAACTTATGTCAAACAATAAAAAGAGAAAAGAAAGGAATTATAATTACATTAGAAAAAAGTAAAGACAATATGTTTTATAATTGTGCATGGAAGAATATTTAATGACGTACGAAAAATGAAAGGAGAAAGAAGTTGGAATAACATAAAAGAAAAGATAATGATATTTTAATATGCAAGAAATGCCAAATTCAATCCTAAAAATGACAAATGCATTATGTATATGTACATGACTTTTTTTATAACTTCTTTCACCAATTGGTAACAAACATATTTAAACCATATGACCATAATTCGGTTTTGAAAAATATACAACAAAACTTTGGTGACCATTGGTGTCTAGTGATATTCTTAAACACATGAAATTTTGTGTATATATCACTGTAGCATATGAATGAACTATGTTGATATATTTCAGATATTTATAGTAAGTATTTGTAGTAGTATTTTCTAATAAATTGCAACATAACTACATTGGTTGACATATTTATAGTAGTTCGTACAAACAAAATGTTAAATTCTTCGTGTTCTAGAAGACGGAAGAAGATTATACTTTGCTTTTCATATTTCAATTTTAAAAGAAAATCACATGTAGTTTAAAATTGTGTACCAACTAAATTTATGTTTTACGGATTTTTTAATTATTTTTAAGAAATTATAAACAATTATGAAACATATTATAAACTAAAAATAATTTATTTGTAGATGTTAATGATTTTCTTATCAATGCTAAAAAATAGATTACACAATTGTAACCATGATAGCTATTCTATTGGTTAAAAAATAATTGTGATTAATTGCATGAAAGATATTTTATTCTATTGGTTAAAAAATTGAAATGATTATAGTTTGAGCTTCTAGGTTGCATGATCAAATCATAGTCATGATGATTGATATACATGTTTTGTTGTGGTTAATATAATCAAATATACTGTATCCTAGTGGTTGAACATTTGAAATGATGATAGTTTTACATCATAGGTCATAGGTTCAAATCTTGTTGATGATGATTGATATGCATGTTTTTTTAGTTTTATTTTAATGTAACTAATAACTTAAAATGTTAAAACTAACAAAATGACATGGAAAATTGTGGAGCTTTCATTGTCCTACGTGGCAAAAACTTGATCCACAACGGCCATAATATAAGTTAAGATAAGATTCATTGATCCCTCTGTTTTTCTTTCTCCGAAAAATGATTAGGCAATCGAATTTAGACATTTTTTTTATCTCTATTCCAATCAAGAATTGGTTATGACAAAAAAACACACACGAGAACAATGTGTTACAAAACTTCATCTCGGTCCAATGAGCAATTACAAAACTTCATCTAATACAACAAGAAGGGTGTATGAATAATGAATCCTCTTCACGTTTGTCTCAGAATTATTGCCAAAACATCACGTTCCAGAACTCAGAAGTGGTTAGCTTCAAGAATCAGAAGTCATTCGTGTATAAAAATATGCGGGGATAGCTACAAATCCATGCCGATACATGGTGATGAATTAGCTAAATTAATCAAGTTACAGTTGTCAGGACAAGAATACCACCACCAGAGCCACCACCAGTGCGTGATCTATCGATCCAGGAAATATGGTCAGCCGAAACTTGTTCCTTCTGGCGTGTATCTGGTGAAGCTTGTACATCAGGCTAGTCTGCATCAGATGCAACAACAATTCCCACGTTTAAGGTGAGGAACAAGGCTGACAAATGAAACAGGTTTCATCATCGATAGTTTGAAAGAAGAAACTAGCAGCATTCGGCTACCCACATCATGCTCTGAGTTCGCTAAACAGGTTTCATCATCATATAGGGTGTAATACACAAGGACTACAGAGTTCAACGATGAAAACGCTAAAGCTTGCAGACTCATAGACTCTGGGGTTAAGTTAAGTGGGAACAAAGGTTCATTACCTCTTTTTTTTTTAACATCAATTCTCTCAAACACACTTGAACAAGATTCATGGACTAGTTGATATGAAGAACGGGTGCATATTGCACAAGGATAAGTCCCCAGAACTTTTCAAGTAATGCTGATAGGCAGAGTCATCTAAGGAACTAAAGTTTGAGAGATCGTTGATGATCTGATTATTACCTGGGCTACAATTGAATCGCCACTGTAGATGGTGCATGATCTTTGAAAGCAACATCCTTTCACCTTGAAGTCTGGTTTAGACTGATCTCCCGAATTTTGTCCAGTAAGGAACACCTCAAGCTCAGTTCTGCAAAGCGTACTCACCGTCCTTTTAACTCTGAATATCATATCTTTTACTGCATCTTCACCTCCTTCAAATCCTTTCCACGACCTCTTCTACAACCAAGCAATAAACTGCCTCACATAATTGTGTTTACTTTGCAGACAAAATACTTAAAACTCAAAAGCAAGAAAAGTTTTCAACAATTCAACCTGCTAACTCATGTACATTGTTTGGTTCCCAATTCCAGAGAAGAGCTCTAAGCTAAGTTTTCAACAAGCTCAAAACTTTGTTCGGCTTGAAGCAAGCAATGAAGTGTGAACTAAACAAAAACCTACAACTCTGAAGAGCAATTTGCCCAGAATCGAACAACTATGCAGACGAAATACTCAAAAGCAAGAAAACCTAAACTCATGTACATTGCTTGGCTCCCAATTTCAGAGAAGCTCTAAGCTAAGTTTTCAACATGCTCAAAACTTTGTTCGGCTTGAAGCAAGCAATGATGTGTGAACTAAACAAAAACCTACAACTCTGAAGAGCAATTTGCCCAGAATCGAACAACTATTCAGACGAAATACTCAAAAGCAAGAAAACCTAAACTCATATACATTGCTTGGCTCCCAATTTCAGAGAAGCTCTAAGCTAAGTTTTCATCAAGCTCAAAACTTTGTCCAGCATTAACGCGGCAATCAAGTGTGAACTAACAAAACCCTGAAAACTCTGATGGGCAATTTGAACAAATTGACCAACTAGCACAAATTGACCCAGCCTAGTTATTCTGCTAACTTGAAAATTCGTTAGTATATACTAACTAATATCCAAAATATATGAACTAATATCCAAGTCTGCTGAGTATCTAGATAACACATACTAGTATTCAAAACATCACAAACTAGTTTCCAGATAGCAAATACCAACTAATATCCACAATCAAACAACTAGTATTCAATATGGATACTCTTATGTGTTATCTGGATACTAATTATGTGTTATATGGATACTATTCTGTGTTGTCTAGATATTAGTTTGTGAATTTGGGATAATAGTTGATTCATGGTGGATATCCGTTAGCAAACTTTGAATACTAGTCTGTGCTCTCTAGATACTTTAGTACTTGGATACTAGTTCATGTATTTTGGATATCAGTTAGTATCGGCTAACGAATTTTCAAGTTAGCAGATTAACTTTCCCCAAATTGACCAACTAGCACAACGAATTAGCAGGTTCAAAAGCAACCAAACTCCATTGAAACGAAAAGGGTCCATTCAAACAACAGACGGGATCCCAAAAGAACTCACATCCAGGCGGTGCAAGGAAATCAAGGGACTACCAGAAGAATCGAGCAGAAGCTTCTTGCAGGGTGCCGCTATCTTCCAGGCTCCGGAAACAGGAACACGAGTAACCCGGAAAAGTATCTCCCCAGAGGAATCGGCGAAACCCAGATCGCCCGGTGGAACTCCGGGATGCTTCTTTGAGACAAAGAGGTCGACGGGAATCAAAGAAGCGGCTCCTTGGACAACGGGAGGTGAATCACTATCATCCATCTACAATTTTCATGCGAGAACCTCCAAGGGGAAAGAAGAGATGAGAAGACTGAGCAGTTGTTCAGAAAAGTAGCAGGGAAAGTGGACGGATGCATTTTCTGATGTGGACTTGATCAAGCAGAGTCAGCCGATGAAGAACTGAGCAGATTCCGCGTGACGAAGAAACCGAAGAGTACACCTTTGGCGGTTGGCCGGGGCCGGCTAAAACCGGGAAGCCCATCTAATTCATGCGATGGGCCAACCTTTAGTTTTTTAATCAAATGGGCCCGGGACATGGGCCTCCCTCTTGAAAAGGTCCAAAAGCAGAGGATACGTGAAGGTAAATGTTCCGTGAAATCGACATTTTGCGAGAAGGAAATGACCTCCGATCGCCGCCTTCCTGCTTCCCAAGGCTCAAAGAATCAATTAACCATATAAATCTTCAACACAGAAACAACGGGAGCTTGCCGATTTTCCTTCCATAAGATTTTCCGTTCTCCGCTGCTGCTCCTCCTCTCCCGGCGGCAGGAGAAGAGAGTTCTGTTTTCCCAACGATAAGTATACTCCTCCCGTTTTTTCGACTCCGAGCAGAATGGGGAAGCAGAAGGGAGATGGCGGTAGGAGCAAGAATCGTCCGTCAAGCAGCAGGTTCGAAGTTTGGGAAACCTTTTCTTTTAGTGTAAATTAATGCCTTCTCCCCCTTAATTAGAGTTGGATGAGCTGAAATTGTGGATGCAAACGTTCCTCTTGTTGCAGTCTCGCAGCTTCTCTACTGCCGTCGGCTTCTTCTGCAGCAGCCGTGGGGTTTGGCGGCTATGTTGGGAGCGCTCGTCTTGATACTTCAATTTCAGGAGACGACTCCGCCCCCTTTCTGGTGAGCTCACAATACAACCTTGGCTCTGGAGTTGTGAGGAAGTTGTTGCAAGTATGATGGGGATCATGGAGGGTTTACCTGTGGGGTGTGAATTTTGCAGGACGTCGACAGTGAAGTTGCACAACACTTGAGGAGGCTAGCTAGGAAGGATCCTGTGACCAAGGTGTTAATCGTTTTAGCTTTCTGTATCTGATCTTTTTGGGGGTTAATTTTCTCGAGGTTTCCACGACTCTAATCATGCGTTTATCAACACAGCTTAAAGCACTGCAAGCATTGGCTACTCTCTTCAAGCAGAAGGCTGGAAAGGATATCGCTCTCATTATACCACAATGGGTACAGTTCTGGTGCCAACCTGAGTCTTTGATGAATTATAGATGTTCGGATGACTGCAAAACCGAACAATGGATTTCACCTTAAGCTGCCAGGATCTGCCACTTGCATTGTTAAAGCGAATGTGCTGTGCCTTAAACATGTTTCCATGAGTAAATGATGTTAGCAAAATCATATGTGATTTAGAACTAAAATCTGAGAGCCCGGATGCATTGGACGTTTTCATGCCTATTGCCACTAGCAAACCCCTTTGGTTTAACTTGAATTACATTGACTTACATTGTTCCTGGTGATGGAATAGTCGTTTTGCTCATACACTTGCATAGCTACTACAACTGAGAGCATAAAAGATGGTTAATTGTTTGGCTGTTTTGGAGTAATGCTGTGTCCTGCAGATAGTCTCAACTGCTTTGATAATAAGGAATTTCTCAGAGAAAAAAATTGCATCTTTCATGTAGGTTTTTCATTGTAGTCTTGGCCTTTGTCAGGTTGAGAACACGTCTTTTCTTTGGCCTTGAAATTTCCTACATTTTATGCTTGTCTAGTTCGTAAACTATGTGTCAATGATTCTTGTTTCCTGAATGATGCGTGCTTGGGTTTCCTTAAATTCACTCTGATTTTCTTCTCATTTTTCGTTCTATTCTTCATTTAGGCCTTTGAATATAAGAGGCTGTTGATGGATTACAATAGAGAAGTTCGGCGGGCAACTCATGAAACCATGACCAATCTTGTTGTTGCTGTTGGGTAAAGACTTTTCTTTTAGAACGTAGGTTCCGATGTGCCTTCTGTTTTAAAAGCAAGTGCTTGGAGATGAGGTTTTTATTTCATGGAAAACTAAGTTGCCAGTTCCTTCTCTGTGCTAGCCTTGGTGTCCATTGTCATGGTTTTCATGCGATATATTATTTGTCCTCCTTGATTCTTTCTTTCTGAAAGGATCCTCTCTGATCCATTATAGACACCCTTGCTAAGAATTCTGACTTGATACCTGTTTATCTCAGTCGAGATTTAGCTCCTCATCTGAAGAGTTTGATGGGACCATGGTGGTTTTCTCAATTTGATCCAGTCTCTGAAGTTTCCCTGGCTGCAAAGCGATCTCTACAGGTAAATTCTAATGTTTATGCTACCTATGAACAGTTCACACTATAGGCCCCATCACTAAGCTATATGTTCTGCAAGATACCTGTTATGCCTATAGCTTCCGGGAAATAGTTTAATTTGACCTGATCTAGAGAAATGTAACTGATGTTAGATTTCTTTTATGATTATTCTGCGGTATTTAGAAGACTGCGTCTAATTTGGTAATTAATTGAGCTTAAATTTGATATCATGATTTATGTTGTCTGTGGATTGAGAACCAAGCTAGGTTGTATTACAGCATCGGTTGAAAATTCTGATCAAGGTTGCACCTTATTTTTGTTAGCCTAGCTTGTGGAGTAATATCGATTTTGATGTGGAGCCATAGTGTAGGCACCATATGAATATAATTTCCTTTTGCTCAATTAGTTGTTTGTAGTTTCGAGCTGGACTGGATAATGGCCAAAAAATAGTTAATGATTTTATGAAGTACTTTAAGACAACCTTTTGCAATAGGTATTGCCTGAGTAAGGCTTTTATTTTATGGGGGAGTGCAATCAAAAAAATTCAAGAAGTATATCATGGTTCTGCTTCAGTTCATTCAGTATTTAGCTGCTTACTTGTACTATCCTTATGTGTAATTAGGCTGCCTTTCCAGCACAAGAGAAAAGATTAGATGCATTCATTTTGTGCACGGTGGAGATATTCCAATATTTGGAAGAAAATTTGAAGTTAACACCGCAAAGTTTGTCAGATAAAGCTGTGGCTTTGGATGAATTGGAGGACATGTACCACCAGGTATACTTGATTTGCTGTTACCTAATGGTATTGGTCCACATGAGCCCAGGAAACTGATTATACTATGTTTGTGTAGGTTTTGAATAGCTCTCATTGATTGCAAAGACTTTTAATGCATTTATGGGGTTTATATGTCCTTATGACTGCGTTTAGTTCAGTGCATTAGAGAATGCATGTTCTTTGTCCTAATCACATGCTATTAAGTGGACTGTCTTTGTTAAAACCTAGTTGTGTTCAATGCGTTTGTATGAAAAATTGTTCTAGAAGAGTCGAAAAAGACACGTGGGACTTAGTGTTTTCCTCAGATACCTCATAACCTCGTGTATTTTTTATGGCATCCCTTCGATGCATATGGAATTGGTTGTAATATTTCAGTTATGCTCAAATGCGTAAAAAAGTTTCACAAGAAACGGTCAATCTTACACTATTGCAAGTAACATAGCCAACCAAACGACATGTCTATGTTATAAAATTTTACCAGTCATTCATATAGTGAAGCCAACTGGTGAGCTTATATTCGGTAATTAGTGGTTCTGTAATGATGGATTCAGAAAAGGGACACAATTTCTCCTTAGCTGAATGTACATAATCTCACCATGGATGAAACCCTCTCTCTACTATTGCTGCTGGTGGATGAATTTTGAATTTGTGGACTTCTCATGCTGCTTCTGACATCTAATTTTGGGGGTGGAGGGCATTTTCCCCGTTGCTTAGTGTCATGACTTATTTGAATGATTTCTTGGCTTCCAGGCAATTGCTTCCACATTGCTCGCATTGGCAACACTTATTGATGTTTTTTTTAGCTTGCGATCTGAAACATCTGGCTTTGAGGATATAGTTGCTGAACCAAGAAATGCCTCAAAGGCTAGGGCAACTGCTATTTCCTTTGCTGAAAAGTTGTTCTCTGATCACAAATATTTTTTAGACTTTCTGAAGTCAGAAAACCCAGCAGTCAGGTCAGCTGCATATTCAACACTGAAGAGCTTCATTAAAAGCATTCCTCATGTTATCAATGACGAAAATATGAGAACTATAGCTGCTGCTGTACTTGGCGCATTCCAAGAGAAGGATCCAGCTTGTCATTCATCAATGTGGGACGCTGTATTATTGTTTTCGAAAAAATTCCCTGAAAGCTGGGCGATGATAAATGTTCAAAAGAATTTTTTGAGCCGGTTTTGGAATTTCTTAAGGCAACAATGTTTTGGATCTCAGCAAGTCTCTTATCCTGCATTGGTTCTATTTCTGGACACTGTGCCTTCTAAATTAGCAGGAGAGCAGTTCTTCCTTGATTTTTTCCGCAACCTATGGGATGGGAGGAATCCATTGCGTTCGACTGTAGCTGATCGTCTAGCATTTTTCAAGGCATTTAAGGAATGCTATCTTTTTGCTTTGCAGAATGCATCCAGGTGCAAGTTTTTCATCTGCATTTGTGCTTTATCCATTTGCTTGATTGTTCATCTACGGATCCAACTATTTGGTTCACTGTGTTGGAATTAAATCTATGCCCTAGCTAGTTCATGTGCTCATTTTATCTTCTAATTGTTACCAGGTATTGCAGTGGGGTTGATGCCATGCAGAGATTTAGAGTCACCCTTGTTGGAGATATCCTTGTAAAGCTTCTTTGGAGCGATTACCTATTTTCTGGAGGGTTCAATCATCAAGATGCAGGTTCTTCTGTTAAGAAGACAACACCATCAGTGAACCTGAAATATCCCTGGAGTTATTTGGAAGAATTGGGGAATTGTGTTATAGAAATTCTTTCTGAAAGCTACTTAACAGAATACGATGTGCTTTCTCCATATTCTGTGGCATTCCGGGAGGATTGTGTCGGCATGTTTCAGCAAACGGCAAATGCAGAAGAAAGAGCAGAACATGTTGAAAGAATTATTAAGTTTTTGTCATTACTGGAGCAGTATTCTGTTAAGAAAGGTGAAGCTTGGCCCTTGGTTCAGTTGGTAGGACCAATGTTGGCAAACTCATTCCCGTTGATAAAATCTTCTGTGAGTTACCTCTGAAAACAATGTGTTTAGATTGGTTCGATTTGATTCTTGGATTTTTCTCTTTGATATTTTTGCAACTTTTGTGCTGGACTTATTACTGCTTTTCCAGTAGGAGACATTATACTTTCTGATTAGTGCGAGTTTACATATTGCTGCTTAACTAACAGTGCATTACTTGATTGCAGTATCCTGTGAGTACTATATGATGCATTGTTCCTGACGTATATTCTGGATTTCTTCTGAACGCAGGATATCCCAGATGGCATCAGACTTCTAACAGTGGCAGTCTCAATTTTTGGTCCACGGGCAACACTCCATCAACTTTGTAACTGCAGCGCTGGGAGTCCTGGCAGTGCTAATCCTAGTGAAAGGAAGTTAGAATTGGCGGATTTCATGCAAGCATTCAGTGAGACATTTGTCCCGTGGTGTTTGTCTGGTCACAGTTCTTCCATCAATAGCCGACTTGATTTGTTACTCGAATTGCTAAATGATGAATATTTTCCCAAGCAGTGGGACATTGTTGTTTCATGTGCAATTAATAGAGCTACCGTTAGAGGTAGAATGGAGCCTGGGACCGTAGAATCTGAAAGATTGGTTTCACTGGCAATGCTCTTGGATAAAGCAAGAGTTCAAATAACAAGGAAGCTGTTGACTGGATCCTCTGAGTATCAGCACTGGTATAACCCGGAGGCATGGTATCATGAGCTTCTCGAGTCAGCTGCTGTTCTTGTTGCCTGTTCTTCAGTCACGTTCAACCATTCTGCTGCTCAGTTTTTGGGGTACGTACAAGGAATTTGTATATTCATCAACACACAACAATTTGCAACTAAAGTCTTATCAGGAAAATATACGTGGTGAATGACTGGTTTCTTGGTTTTAGAGTGGATGCTATATGATCAGTTAAGCTGTCTGTTGTAGAAATGGTATGCTCAATGGCTACTTGGTAGGTTGTGACACCTGGATTTGACATAAATATAGCTTAAGCCTGCTGCTGGAAGATGAATTGTCATTTTATTCGAATCACAAGTTTTGTGCTTCCCAGCTGAGACTTAATTGTCATGATACTTGTCTTTGGAACAAACTGATTTGCGATAGCTGGTTGCCGAGTTTGTTAATGCTTCTTAATAGTTGGAGTCTAGTTTCTTGTATTCAGCAACTTTTTGAATTATGAATATATGCACTATGCCTAGCTTTGTATTTATTTGGTTGTATTATTACCCTGATAGAAAGAAGGTTCTTTGGAAATTATTGGCTTTGCATTTGTATATCTGTATCTCACTATGACTGTTTCTATGAATGGGAAATTAGCTATTTGTGGCATCGATTTGGCTGTTCTTCTCTACTTATTTTGACACCTATCTTTCAATTCTTATTTGGCAGCGCGGTTCTTGGTGGCCTAGTCAACGAGAAGCAAATTTCGTTTGTGTCAAAAAACACGATAATTTTGATCTTCAAAGAGATTGAGAAAAGATTGCTATCCTTCATGGCCAAGTCCTGTTTAGATTCTGTCAAAGAGTCGGATTCTATATTAACTGCACAGATACTCAATGTTGCAACTACCAGTGAGGGCTCTGAGAGCACAATTGAGATGGCCCAAGCTTCCCTTGATATACTTAACTGTAGCTTCTTTTGCTTGAAATCAATATCAGAGGAAGTCGACCTAGTGTCAGGTATCTTGGCTGCTGTCTTTGTTATAGACTGGGAGTTGGACTTGATAAAAATGCAAGAAGATGCTATTAATGATGCATCACATGAGAAGATGAAGGGAAGAAGGGAAGTTTGCCAAGTCGCGCATGATCTTTGCCAGAGAATGAAGGATGGATTCTGTAAAAGCCTTTCGGCAGACATCCGAAAGAAACTGGGAAACCTTCTGGTTCAAGTTGTTAGGTTTGTCATCTTGAAGGAATATAAGCTGCGTGCTAATATAATCACATCCATGTGCTGCTCTTGGCTGGTGGAAGTACTTTCGCGTCTTTGCCTTGATCAAGCTGAGGAACAGAAATTACTTGACCAGGTTCTGGGCAAGGATCAGATCTGGCCTTCATGGATTGTTGCTGATTTCACCATTGGAAATGGAGCCAGTATATTAAATATGGAAAATGACTTACAGGTAAGTGGCATAATATTATGAATTCTTCCTTGAGTAGAAATATGCTTCTCGTGCCTTTTTCATTCGTGTGCTTGTCAATGCTCAGTCCTGTTCTGTAAGCAGCAGAGGCAATATCCATCTTATTACTTGCCTCTTGCACATGGAAACTGAATCTTGCTTAGTTTAGTGAGATAAATTTGCTCCATCTTCTGTCTGGGTGTTGAGTTGGAAAAGACAATTACACAAGGCTTTCGAAAGGACTCAATCTCAGATCCAAACCTTCAACCCACATTGTGGTTAATAGATTTCTGACTAACTCATAGCGAATCAGAAAGTTGACAACTTGTGTATGGATTGTGTTCCTCTCATTGTTATTGTTTAAAAACTTGGTTAATATCACTGTTAATGTATTTCAGCTTCCTGGCATGACTCTTTGTTGTCCGGCCTTTCCGAATGTTGCCCTTTCTTCCATTTAATCTCTGATTTCAGTTGGGGATTTGCAACGAACTGTTTGGTGCTGGCCTCTTGCAGTCTTGAGTTTGTTTCTCTAATTGACAAGTTTATGATGGAAATTAGAATTAAGACCGTTACTGTAGCTTGAAGACTTCTTTTAAATGTGTTTTTACATATGCTGTTGTAACATTGATAATGGTTTATCTCTTACCCTATGAATAATGTATTCTGCTTTCTGGCACGACTTTTTGTTGTTCCTTTTCGGACCTGCCCTTCTTTACTGTTTGATCTTTTCTGGTTTCTGTTGGTGATTTGCATTTATCTGCCTGGTGCAGGCGTCTTTCAGTCTCAAATTTATTTCTCTGATTGACAAGCTTATTTCGAGGATTGGAATCGGTAAAGTTCTTTGCCTTGATGATGGCAGCATCCCTCTGAAGGAGTCAATGGACGAAGAAAGTACTCGAGCCTGGCTTGCTGCTGAAATTTTATGTACATGGAAATGGATAGATGGTACGGCTGTTGATTCTTTCTTGCCCTTGCTGAGTCGATATGCCAAAGCAGGGGATCATCCTAGTGTACACAGCTTACTAGATGGTATCTTGGACATCCTGCTTAGTGGTGCTCTTGTTCAAGGACAAAGGGGCAGACTGAGGCTCTTAAATGTGTGGCCTGCTCTGAATGATGAGATAGGAAAAATTACAGAACCATTTTTACGAGCTTTGTTATCTTTGGTTGTTACTTTGTTCAAAGATGGTATATGGGGAAGAGACAAAGCCATTGAAATGTTTGAGATTCTCATGATGAAGCTCTATGTTGGAGAATCAATCAACCAAAATTGCCTGAACATTCTTCCCTCGATCATTACTGTTCTTATACAGTCATTGCATCATAGAGGCGGCACATCTTCTGATGCTGGCCAACACAATCAACTTGATCTTCTAGATGAAAGACTGCAGCATATTCTCAGAGATTGGCTACATAGGACCTTGATGTTCCCACCATTGGTTGAATGGACTTCAGGACAAGGTAAATTCAAGCTTACCTGTAAACCATTTGGCTTGCACTCCAATGTTGCATTACCTTTTATTTTCAACTCCCTGTTTTCTTTATTGCTTTAGGTATTAACTTTTGTTACTGTGCTTTTTATTCATTGACTTAGATACGGAAGAATGGCTGGAGCTGGTTATTGCTTGTTATCCGTTGAGGTCAACCCCTTGCATAAAATCTTTGAAGTTGGTGAGGGACATTGGTGTGGAAGAGAGAACACTTGTACTTGAGTTATTCCGCAAACAGAAACACCGGACATCTGTAGTAGCTAATCAACTTCCAGTTGTCCGGATGTTACTCTCTGAGTTGTTAGTCATTTGTGTTGGTTATTGCTGGAAAGAATTCGCTGAGGATGATTGGGAGTTCTTTTTCTCGCAAGTTAGGTCTTCTATTCAGTCGGTGGTTGTTATGATGGAAGAGACTACAGAAAACGTGAATGATGTTGTTTCTGATGGCTTAACCTCTAAAAGTTCAGATGTTTTGAAGCAGTTAGATCATCTTGTTTCAGCTTCCGACTCTTCTGCTGTTAATGTTGCTAGCAATTCCTTGGCTTCTTTCTCATTGTTTCGTGAGGGTTGGGAACTCCAACGGTCAAGTAAGGATGATTCCAGCCCAATTGTTCTGGAGAGATGGAATCCGACCATTGATAGACTCATAGAAGCTATTCTTCGCTTATTCTTCTGCACTGGAATTTCTGAATCCATTTCCAGTATGTACAGTCATGAAGCTGCATTAGTTGTCGCAGAATCTCGATGTTGTAATTCCTTATTTTGGCAGTTGATTGCTTCAAATGTTATCAACTCATCTTCACAAGCAAGAGAAAGAGCAGTGAGGGCTGTTGAATTCTGGGGGTTGAGTACTGGATCAGTCAGTTCCTTGTATGCAATTTTGTTCTCCTCTATACAAATTCCATCTCTACAGCTTGCTGCTTATGTCATTCTTTCAACTGAACCTGTTTCACGGTCGGCTGTAGTCAAGGGCTCTGATGTTGTAATGGATGATGTTAGCAGTGATGATCAGGAGTCATCTAGTCTTGTGCTGCCATCAGAGAAAAGTATTCAGTTGCAGGAGGAATTAAGTTTTAGAGTTGAGAAACTTTCCTATGAAGTGCTTGAAATGGATTTGCTGGCACATGAACGAGTAATTACTCATGCTGTATACTTTTTATGATCTCAATGAAGCACGTTCTCAGTGGCTGATTAATTGTTGACTTTCTTGATTCTGCAGGTAAATATTTTACTATCTTGGTCTTTGCTGCTGTCACACCTGTGGTCATTACCAGCATCATCTCCTTCCAGAGAGCAATTGGTCCAGTATGTTCAAGGTTCTGGTAACTCAATAATACTAGATTGCATCTTCCAGCATATTCCTCTAGAAGCGTGCTATTCTCAGACCCTTAAGAAGAAAGATGCTGACCTGCCTCCTGAGGCATCAGAGGCTGTAAGTGGAGCAACTAGGGCCATAACTACTGGCTCATTATTGTTTGCGGTGGAATCATTATGGCCAGTTGGGACCAAGAGCATGGCCTCTCTTGCTGGAGCATTATATGGTTTTATGCTTCGAGTTTTCCCTGCTTATGTTAGGGGGTGGTTCTCCGAATTCCGTGATCGCTCTACCTCGTCTCTTATTGAAACCTTTACACGAACATGGTGCAGTCCTGCTCTGATTGTTGACGAACTGTCTCAGGTAAGTATTCGGAATTAAACGTACGGTGTGCACACATATTTGACATAGGAAATTAGTTGATTTTATATGATATGATTAGAACTGTTTAGGTAAAGAGAACACAAGATACTTCATTAGAATGCCAGTTATGGTTGATGATGTCCTTTGGGACTTGTATCATACAAATCAGGCTTTGTTTCAGTGACCATGTTTATTGTCTTTTATCCGGGATATTGAGGCTGCTTCAATCACAAAAGTTGCACTTATGATCACTTATTGAAGCATTTTAAGAAGGTGGAGTTATCTTTTGTGAAAGCATGAAAAAGTAAAGAATATATAGAATGAAGGAGGGGAAACTACTTGGCTTTAAAGATGCTTTTCCCCCTGTTAGGGCTTTGAGGATGCCTTTGATTGTTGGGAAATGACACAAACATGGCTTTGATGCAGATAAAGAAAGCGGACTTCGCTGATGAGATGTTTTCAGTGAGTGTGAGCAAATCGGCAAATGAAGTCGTGGCTACATATACAAAAGAAGAGACAGGAATGGATCTAGTCATCCGTCTTCCTGCGACATACCCACTACGCCATGTTGACGTTGATTGTATGAGAAGTCTTGGGATAAGTGAGGTGAAGCAAAGGAAATGGTTAATGTCTATGATGATGTTTGTTCGCAATCAGGTATGCAGCTAAGCGATTACTGAAATTGTGGTCTTTTGCACACTATCAATTGCGTGGAGGGGCAATAGGTTTTTTTTTGTGAATTTCATTCTCACTTGGCGATGAGTTAGGCCTAATCGACAAAGTAGGATCCAGTTTAATATTAATTTAATTGGAAACTGACAGTAGGGGCCTCATTTGAATTGTCGAAATAGTGGAGGAGGGGAGTTCAGATAGGGGCTTGTTAAACACAATATGGTTGTGTGGCCAAATTGTAGGAGAACTCATTTTTATTTGATGTGTTGTCCAATACTGTGAATATTTTTCCTGAGTGAAGTGATCAGTATGTTGTGAGAAGCTGCAGATAGTCTAATATTTCATGTTCTGGGTTGATACAGAATGGAGCATTAGCTGAAGCCATAAGGATATGGAAGAGTAATCTGGACAAAGAGTTTCAAGGAGTGGAGGAGTGCCCAATATGTTACAGCGTCATACATACAGACAACCACAGCCTTCCTCGACTTGCTTGCCGGACTTGCAAACACAAGTTCCATTCAGCCTGTCTCTATAAGTGGTTCTCGACATCCCACAAATCTTCATGCCCGTTGTGTCAGTCTCCCTTCTGATGTGCAGACTTGGAAGTCGGTTAGGGATCCCTAGGAAAGAAGGTACTACTACCAAATTTCAACTCCTTAATTTCACTGCTTTGTGATTGTCGTGTTCTCTGCATGTGTAGTTAACAACCTGATTTCTTTTTGATTTCAGAGCATGTTGGAAACTTGGCAGAGTGATCATAGTACAGAAGGCGAGTTTCATAATTTCGGCAATGTGTATTGTGTACAGTGCAAGATGGAATTAGCTGTTGTTTGTCAGATGGAGTTGTACTTTCGTTTGAAGGCGCAAAGAGAATAGATCGATAGAGAACTTCTCACTTTCTAACTACGGCCAACTTGTGATCAGGGGAATAACCAAAAAACACTATTTCGTACTTGGGCTTTAGTGGGTTTGCCGATCATACTATCCACCATTGTCCATTGAAGATCAATTTCCTTGTCATCCAATGGCCCCATTGCTGTTTGCATAGTATTTTTGCTTTTGGTGGATCTTCTTGTTTTTTTTTTTTTCGTAGCATTGACAGTCATGAGTCAAGAGACACTTGCCTGGTTGACGCCATTTGTGTCATGTTCCATCGTTGCATTATCAATTTCAGTCGACGAAAACCGGATCCTTGATGGAGATCCAAAAGTAGGAGGCGTTCCAGCCCAGAATTCCTAGTGGAGAGTTGGGTGCCCTAAACTCCGGACATCCAACTCAGTTTGCATGCCGCTAACATGAAATTTCTTTAATACCAGGACCAATACACACAACCCTTCAAACTACTTATCATACTATTGTTTTTGTTCAGTTCAGCACAAGCATACAAACCAGAAACACCGTATACAAGTTGAACCCTAGAAATGCCGTTCAACAACAACCAAACCGTGGATGGGCTGCATTAGGGGTGGCTATCGGGTTTTTGGTTTTACTCGAAACCGGACCGTATAACCCGGACCGAAATCGGACCAGGACATGATAGCAAATAATCCAATCCTATCTTCGGGATTAGATTTGAACCGTACTGAAAACCGGATAAAGACCGAATAAGAGAGCCCAACCTCCAAAATTTAAACAACTCCTCACGTCCAAGGAGTCTTCGGCTAGAATGTTATTAGGGTTTCTCACCACACAAAGCTACAGAGAAACCGACAGCAACAAAGTATATATAGGTTTACCAATCCCGAAAACACTAACAAGGGAGTTGGTAAATTACACAACAATACCCAAACAAAGAAGTAGCCTTCAACAAGGGAATCGACTACACCAAACCGTATGTCCTCAACATGGCACGCGTACGGTTCACAACACGCCCCCTCAAGCGATGGCGTGAATGTCGTGAAGGCCAAGCTTAGAAGTGAGATAGGAGAACTGCTCGGCACCTAAGCCTTTAGTGAACATATCGGCGATCTGATCTTTAGAAGCGATCTTGCAGGGAGCTATATCTCCAGAAGTAACGCGCTCCCTTACGAAATAACAATTCATCTCCACGTGCTTCGTCTGCTCGTGAAAAACAGGGTTGGCAGCAATATGTAATGCTGCCTGATTGTCACAATGCAGCGGAGTGGGAGCCTTGCTAGAAATATCGAGCTTGCTAAAGAGCCAACGAAGCCAGAGGAGTTCACTCACTGTGCTAACCATGGCACGATACTCAGCTTCGACAGAAGAACGAGCCACAATAGACTGTTTCTTGGTACGCCAAGAAACCGGGCAATCACCTAAACGAATGAAGTATCCAGTAGTGGAGCGACAGGTGTGCTGACAACCGCCCCAATCAGAATCACAGTAAGCCGTCAAATGAAGGGAACCACTCGTGCGAAAGTACAGCCCGCGGCCTGGAGAACCTTTGAGGTACCGGAGGACCCGATGTGCAACATCCTCATGCTGCTGTCGAGGAGAGGGGACAACCTGACTCAAGATATTGACTGCATAAATGATGACTGGTCATGTAACAGTCAGATACTGCAGACGACGAAAATCATAAGGATCTTTGGTTGCGGGTCCCTCAATTCTGGCGAGATGATGGTTTTGCTCAATGGGAAAAGCACATGGTTTAACACCTAGTGCGTCGGCGTCCTTGAGGATGTCGAGGGCATACTTCCTCTGAGATAAAAACCAGTCCACGACAAGAACGGGCAACTTCAATGCCCAAGAAATATTTTAACACACCCAAATCATTGATACTAAATTGTGCCTGCAGAAAATCTTTCACATGCTGAATAGTATGGAGAGCATCCCCACCAAGGATAATGTCATCTACGTAGATGAGAGCAAATGTGAAACTACCATTACGGGGAAGCAAAAAAAGTGAGGGGTCCGCCTTCGACTGTTGAAAGCCGAACTTCTGCAAGGCCTGCGTGAACTTCATGTACCAGTTACGAGAGGCCTGCTTGAGGCCGTACAGGGACTTGAGAAGATGATATACCCTGTTGCCCCCCGGTCGAGCAAACCCAGAAGGATGTTTCATATAAACCTCTTCATGCATATCACCGTGCAAGAAGGCATTGTTGACGTTCAATTGATGCAAATGCCAACCATGGTGAGCAGTAACAGAGAGAACACAACGTATGGTTACCAACTTAGCAACCAGGGCAAAGGTATCATGATAGTCCACGCCCTTGATTTGGGTGAAACCCTTAGCCACCAAGCGCGCCTTGTACCGCTCCACACTACCATCGGGGCGAAATTTGATCTTGTATACCCATTTAGCTGCAATGGCCTTCTTATTTGGGGGAAACTCTTGCAAATCTCAAGTGCCTTTAGCCTCGAGGGCATCAATCTCGTGTTGCATGGCTTCCCGCCAGCATGCATACTTAACAGCATCATGGAAGAACTTCGGCTCAACCAAGGTGTCTACAGCTGCCACGAAAACCTTGTGATTAGGGGAGAGTCGATGAAAAGTAACATAAGTTGATAAAGGATATTTAGAAGTAGTAGCAGTATGAGAAGAAGGGAGCAAATTTTCATAACCTTGCAGACGAACGAAAGGCTTCTGCTGGCGATCACTCCTGCGAAGGGGAACCTCGGCAGTAGGAGGAGAAGGAAAAAGCGGCGGGGAATATTCACCACTCATATCCTCCTGTGAAGAGCTCTCGATGTCAACGCCCTTGACGGCACACATGGGGAAGTGACGTCCTCAACAGCTGCTAGAGTGAAAGCGGGAGCCGGTGTGGGAGCAGTTCCATCGTCATCGATCGATGGAGAAAGCGCGGGGTTAAGCGGTGGCAAAGGCTGAACGCCGCCGGGCACAAAGTGAAACGGGAACGTGCGCTCGTCGAAGACAACATCCTGAGATGTAAATATGCGACGAGAAGATAATTCATAGACCCGATACCCTTTCTGAGATGAGGGATATCCAAGAAAGACACATGCTCGCCCACGTTCACCAAACTTGTCCAATGAAGAACGAGTGTCCTTCGAATAAACGAGGCAGCCAAAAGCACGCAAGTGATCATAGGAAGGACAACGATTGAATAACCGTTCAGACGGGGTTTGATTATCAAGAGCACGATGAGGCAGCCGATTGATTAAATACCCTGCAGTGAGAACACGTTCACCCCAAAAACGCTTTGGCAGGTTTGCATGGAAGCGTAGGGCGCGAGCAGTGTCCAGGATATGTCGATGCTTATGCTCAACGACACGTTCTGCTGTGGAGTGTCAGTACATGACGTTTGAAGGCGAATGCCCTCATCGAGATAGAGATCTAACATCTCCATCGACTGGAACTTTGTCCCGTTATCTGTCTGAATAACCTTGATTGTTTGAATGGATTGCCGAGAAGCCTGTCTAATAAAGAGTTTCAAGTACTTTGCTGCCTTAGACTTGAACTTAAGTAAATAAATCCACACTCCACGAGTGAAATCATCAACCACGGTAAGCAAATATTTTGCACCACTCAAAGACGGAACTCGATATCCACCCCAAATGTCAATATGGATATGTTCAAAAGGTCTACTACTACGAATAGAACTCGACGGAAACACCAATCGAGGTTGCTTTGCTCGCAAATAGGATGAGCAAAGCTTATTATTCTGGCTATGCAAACTAGAACCCAACTGCAACAAATCTAACTTTTCTAGCAAGGGATGACCCAGGCGCACGCCAATAAACAAGAGCAAATACTAGAGCCCGTCATTCTGCGTTCTTGTCCCAATAATCATCTTCGAGCGTAAGTCTTGTATCACACAGAAGTCGCCCAAGAAGATCAATGCCAAAGAAAAATCCCGAGTAAGTTGGCTAACAGACAGAAGATTGCATTTAAACTCCGGAACCAGCAAGACCCGCGGCAAGGTCATGTCATCAATAGCCGAGCCATCAGGAACCCGAACTTGTAAATCCGAGTCTTGCTGTGAATTAACAATGAGCCGATAATCGTTGACGATGTACTCGTTGCAACTTGATCAATTAACCACTCATATCGAGTTAAAGAAGGAGGCAGGAAATTACCTGTCATCTTATTATTAGTGGAGGCTGTCTTCAAATTACCCCCAAAGAGCAACTTTAGCTTATCAAACTGTGAGGCACTCAAGCCCGAAATAGGGCTCTCATTTACGCCAACCTGAGCGGCTCGAGGCCCTCCTTTGCCACGCGGTGGTCCTCCTTTCTGCCGACCATCCTTTTCACCCTTGGCAGCACCACGCCCTGGATATCCAATGAGCTCAAAACAACGATCCTTTGTGTGCCCCGTCTTATTGCAATGATCACAAACATACCGAGGCTTGACAGGATCATGAGGGCGACCAGAACTGGCGTGTTGAGAAGAGCGCTCGTCCTAAACATGAAAAGCGGCTACCTCGACGATGGGACGACGGGAAATGGCGATCAGACGCTGTTGCTCATCATTGGTGGCGAGATGGTAGGCTTCAGCTAAGCTAGGGATGTGGCGCAAAGCCTCTGATACCATGAAAAATGTGAAAGAACGAAACACGAACACGACGATTTGCGTGGTATCCTCGTTAACATGAATGAGACTAATCCACGAAAGATTCTCACGAGGAGTCTTCGGCTAGAATGTTATTAGTGTTTCTCACCACACAAAGCTACAGAGAAATCAGCAGCAACAAAGTATATAAGGTTTACCAATCCCGAAAACACTAACAAGGGAGTTGGTAAATTACACAACAGTACCCAAACAAAGAAGTAGCCTTCAACAAGGGAATCAGCTACATCAAACTGTAAGTCCTCAACATGGCACGCGTACAGTTCACAACAGGACCGGATCAAGACCGGACCGTATCGAGTACAATCTTTGGTCCTTATATTCCCGAAAAAGATCAGACTAGAACCGATTCAATTCAGGTCAATTTAACCGGACCGGACCGTATAAGCAGTTCGGGCTTTTTAGTTTTACCCAAAATCGGACCGTATAACCCGGACCGAGACCAGGCCGGAACCAGATAGCAAACAATCCAATCCAATCTTCGGGTCTAGATTTGTGGTAAAAAACTGTTTGGGACCGGACTGAAAACCGGATAAGAGAGCCCAACCCCCAAAATTTATCCTCCTCACCCTTTCAGGCCGCCACTCAAATCCCCCCTCAGGCCACTCATATCACCACAAGTCAATCTAAAATCAAGACCGAATTGGGACTGGACCGGATCAAGACCGGACTGTATCCAATGCAATCTTTGGTCCTTATATTGTCGAAAATATCGGACCGCGAGACTGGGTCAATTCTGACCAATTTAACCGGACCAGACCATATTAGGGCTGGCTATTTGGACCGGGACCGGATGAAAAACCGGAAACCGGACAGTATAACCCGGACCGAGACCGGACCGGGACCGGATAGTAAACAATCCAATCCAATCTTTGGGTTTAGATTTGAGGTAAAAAATCGGATAAAGACCGGATAAGAGAGCTCAACACCCAAAACTTAAGGGTAATTTGCATAAACGGTCACAAACCTTTACACTTAGTACAAAACTTAACCAACTCTTCACCCTTTTAGGCCTTAGGCCACTCAAATTCCCACAATCTCAATATAAAATCAAGACCGAATTGGGACCGGACCGGGTCAAGACCGGACTGGATCAAGACCGGACTGTATCCAATCCAATCTTCGGTCCTTATATTCTCAAAAAAACCGGACTGGACCGGATCAATTTGGGCCAATTTAACCGGACCGTACCGTATAGCCACCCCTAGACCGTATAGCCACCCCAGGCTGCATGGACCAAATATGGGCTTATGGGCTAAGCAACCACTTGTGCTAAGAGAAAGTTGTATAAAACGAGTTAATATATGACAGCTGAGATCGATGGAGGATGATTGAAAACCAGGCATGAAGGCAAGAAAAAACAGAAATTAGGAAAACATATTTTCCTATACGTAACGAACACTCTTAACACCATAAAATTGGTCCCTAACGAGCTTCCAACACGACTGTATTGCAACCGAATAGGGACCCCAGAGGCTTTTCTTCCACGTACGTCAAAGTATGACAATTGCAGCTTTCGGTAAGAGCAGTACGTATTATTTAAGAGTTAACCCAACAGACAATCAAAGCAATTGGAAAGAAGATCATGGCCTCCTCCAGAGGTTCTCTGGGATCAAACATCATAATCTTCTTCTTGTTACTTTTTGCAACCACTGGTTCTCAAATTTTCTGCGAAGCGACCATAGGAGTTGGTGGAGTTCCAGCAGTTTACATGTACGGTGACTCGGTTCTCGACACCGGGAACAATGACTACATCGTAACTTTGTTCAAGTCCAACTTCCCTCCCTACGGAAAGAATTTCCCGGGAAGAAAGCCCACCGGCCGATTCTCAGATGGGAAACTCATTTCAGACTTCATAGGTATTATACTACATTAATGACGTGATTTTTCAGTTCAGGATTTACAGTTATCAAATGATTATACTCTTTTTTTTTTCTCTCAGTTCAAAGTTTAGGGATCAAAGAAACTTTACCGGCTTATCTTGATCCGGATCTTGATGCGGAAGATCTAATAACGGGAGTTAATTTTGCTTTTGGTGGCTGTGGATACGATCCATTATCAGCAAAGACATTCGTAAGAATCTGACACTAAAAATGTTTAATTTGTGCTTCTTGCTCATTACTTATATCCGGTTATCCCAATTAATTTATGTACATGCGTCAAAAGTTATATTGTTCTAATAACTCGAGTGGCACACGTTAACATAAACGAGATGATGATTATGATGAAAGTGTATAACAAACATCTTATAATATGAGTGTATAATGTACTAATCCATACAATATTATTTCTTATAAATTTGTGTATCAAGCAGTTCTTTTATCAATTTCTTTCGATCTCAACTTATTTTTATTCTTTAAGTTTAGGTTCGGTCTTTTATCAATTTCTTTATTACATTATGATAATAAAGAAATATTATGCATTGGCTCGGTTTGGGTTTTGAGATTTTAGAACCCCAAACCAACCTAGTTATTTATTGGATCTTCACTCAAACATCCTCATCTCTTCCATCCATTTGACTTAGTTTGCTTAAAATATAAATTGATTCGGGTCGAGTGACACAAATGAATCGGGTTTTGAGTCATTTTGTTCATTCCTAATTCCTAAATGAAAGTGTATAGCATACATACATCCTATAATATGGGTGTATAATGGACTAACACATAGTCACATACTATATTATTTCTGACTGACCGTCGAAATTTGTATATATCAGGCAGTTCCTTCGATCGAAGCTCAACTCAACTTCTTCAAACAATACAAAGAAAAGCTGAAAACCCTAGTCGGAGAGCAGAAATCAAACGACATCGTAGAGCGCAGCCTCCACGTAATATCAGCCGGAAACGACGACGTCGGGTTGACCTATTTCCTCACCGGAAAACAACTCGACCTACCTTCGTACGCCGCCTTTCTCGTAACCCAGGCCACCGCAAACCTCAGACAACTATACAAACTGGGAGCGCGTAAGATCGCCGTCTTTAGCACGACGGTGACCGGATGCGTCCCTTTTTCGAGAACTTTTTTCGGCGGGAAACGAAGGCAATGTTCCGACGTCTCCAACGAGCTAGCGATGATGTTCAACGACAAGCTTAGCGAGGCAGTTGAAGCCTTGAACGACGACGTTCGTCTTCCTAACTTGAACATCGTGTTTGTGGACGTGTACAGGCCCCTGTTAAAAATCATTAGGCGTCCTGAAAATTATGGTAATTATTATTGGGTTAATTTCTCTTTATTTAAGGTGATTAGCGTGCATGATTAATTAGATTTACGTGGATTATTGATCAATTGCAGGGTTTGATATAGCGACGGAAGGATGCTGCGGGACAGGTGCTTTCGAGTTTGCAATTCTTTGCAATCCATTGACCCCTTTTACGTGTGCCAATACTTCAAAGTACTTGTATTTTGATGGTGCTCATCCCACGGAGAAGGCGTATAAGATCGTATTTTCGGAAATATGGAATTCCATAATCGAGCTTTTATGAAATCGAATGTATTACATGTTATCAGTGAATTGACTGTGATGATTTTTATGGTGGAAACGTACGTAAATTTCTAATTTGAATATATGAAGATATCGGAAAACGTTTCGTGGAATCGGACAGTAAAATATGTTTATCGTACGTATTTTGATATTATGTTACTGCTATTGTTATATTGTTAAGGTGACTATCACCTCTCATCTAGTATGATCACTTGGGATGATCCAGAAAAGAAAAAGAAAAAACATAAAAATTGAACTCACCAGAGGAACTTATTAAAAACAAATTCATCAGAACAATACTATGGAAATAGGAAACGAATAATGACTAAAATAAATTGAAGGTTGGATAGACAAATCATTGCTGTTGGGATGGAAAATAGGGGTGGCTATGCGGTCCGGTCCGGTTAAATTGACCCAAATTGATCCGGTCCAGTCCGGTTTTTTTGAAAATATAAGGACCGAAGATTGGATTGGATACAGTCCGGTCTTGACCCGGTCCGGTCCCAATTCGGTCTTGATTTTATATTGAGATTGTGGGAATTTGAGTGGCCTAAGCCCTAAAAGGGTGAGGAGAGTTGGTTAAGTTTTGTACTAAGTGCAAAGGTTTGTGACCGTTTATGCAAATTACCCTTAAGTTTTGGGTGTTGAGCTCTCTTATTCGGTCTTTATCCGGTTTTTTTATCTCAAATCTAAGCCCAAAGATTGGATTGGATTGTTTACGATCCGGTCTCGATCCGGGTTATACGGTCCGGTTTCCGGTTTTTCATCCGGTCCCGGTCCAAATAGCCAGCCCTAATGGAAAAGGCTCGTTCTACAGAGAGAAGAGAAGGTTGGGCCATGTCTTGGACCAATAGAAGAAAGAAAGATTTTTGGGTTTGGATCCCACAACATCCTCTAGCCACAGTCCAACCCTTTTCCGAATCTAGAGTTAGCATCACGCTTATAAATATTTCGATTTTAGATATTCAGTTCAGTACTATTTAAAAATCGTCGAGTGTTCTTTTATAATAGGATTATGTGTAACTAGAAAAATGGTCTAAATGAACATATCCAAACCACTATAAATTTAGACTAGAAATTTTAGGCCTAATGATTTTTATTTTTAAAAAAATAAAACTTAAAGTCTAAAACGTAAAAGACTCTTAGCTAAAGTTCACATTTCCCTGTCAAAACTCAAAATATTCTTCACTCCCAAAACAAAAACACGAACTAGGAGACAAACGGACACAAAATGATTCCTCCGCCAGTCCACCGATTGCTGCTTTTATTTCCAGTCCTTTGATTAAGAAAATATTTACAAACTTGTTGAGTCATCATTTAGATTGCTTCAGTTGAGTGGAGCACTAGATTCTAACAGTTCTTTCAGGTCATTTGGTGAAGAAAATATTTGCAAACCTGCTCAAAAGTTTAGCCTCGAGACTTTGAAGACCGAGATGCATTCTTTAAAAAATGAGCTATGATATTATGCCGTTCATGTGGTTTCTAGTCGATAATATTAAGTTTCTCCCCTTGCGAAATTACCAGAGAAGCTGGCGGAAATAGGGATGGACACACAATACAAATTGATTTGTCGATTAATTCGTCTAGTGTTGACCTTGCCCATTGTTAGTGTGTGGTATAAGATCCATTATGGAACCTCTCCCAACAACTCGAGTTATTGGGATCAACTGATTTTTGATATGATATCAGAGCCTTCTGTGACTGTGAGGTCTTGTGTTCCAATCCCGGTGACCCCCATTTGTGAAGCACATGAAATTCTTGTGTTTAGACCTGTGCAAACTTCAAACCCTTGTGAGTGGTTTTCGTTTGAGGGGGCGTGTTAGTATGTGGTATAAGATATGGAACCTCTCCCAACAACACGAGTTATTGAGATCAACTGGTTCTTGATACCCATTTCAACGACTATCATGGAGAGAAAATTTTCAGCAATGAAACATGTGGAAACTAATCTGCGCAACAAAATGATGAGCAATGAATTTCTCGTATTGGTATGGATGGAGATTCTATTATTAATGGATTTGCCAAATTAAAAGACCTTCTAATACAATTGTCATTCTAATTCTAATGAAGAAAACTATAGTTATTAAATTTTTTACGATATCTAATATTTTATTCAATTGCGACGCAGTACTTTACTATATGCCGGATCCGCTGGTGAGCAAATACCTCCATCATTGGGAAGGAGACAAAATAGTAGTAGGTAGGGTTAGGGTATGACCCTTCGCACGAAATGAGAAAGACAACTCACCTCTCATTCTTACTTCCACGCAAATTCATTATTTATTAGTCTGCTCAAACTTCCAATTCCAATCCATTATTTTTTGTACTTTCATGTTCTCTTGCTCTTAATGCCAACTTTGAGGTTGTATTTTATAATTGATCATTCAATATTAAACCGTATTATTTGTCTTGGCCGGTGTACCAAGCTTGGCACCCGCAGGTCTGCAATTATTATTATTGGATGCATTTATTGTTATGTCTGTTTTTCTTTGATTGCAAATCGTCATTTTTAACATGGAACTGGGACTTTGGCGCGAGTTTACGGTTCTTTTCAATGTCCCCCTTCTACATATGATATAATTTGAATAGGATTATTTATGGTCGATTTAAAATCATGGGATCTCATTGACGGATAAGCGAGCCAGGGTCTAGGAGCGAGATTCCCGATTAGGAGGCTCGGGAGAGTAAGGTTCTCTTGCCCCGATCGACGGTGTATGGCCTTATGAACGTTTAAGTTTCTGTTATGTGCCTACAGTCTGTAAACTTAATTATGATTCTATACCATGATGAATTAGAGTTAGACCGTATGGATATACTTCTTAATCCCTCTGTAATATACAATCTCCTCAAATATAGTGAAGAAGCTGCCTCTTTCCCCGCCCGTGAACTAAGTAACACACGTTGTATTTGTGAACCACGTAAATCTGTATGTTCTTTTCTTAATTTCCGAATATCGTTGTCTTTCTTGCATGGTTGATTATCCCGGTACATTCTTGAGATCTACTTGTACGAATAATTAATACTTGAGAATATAAATATCAGGAACCCTGTAACTAATTAAGCTATTGTGAAAGTCAAAAGTAACCTTTTTATACCTTATTATCATGGATCAGTTAATTACGTATTACAAATGGAGTGTGCCATGTTTCTTCCTACACTTGGTCCGGTTAAATCACCTTATTCAGAGTTGTGCCAGAAAGATCTTTTCTACAGGCATGCAATGAACTCCATGAAAGTGTACGTACTCTGAATCTTGAACTAGACTGAAGTTGAAGGGCAATGCTAGCTATAATTGGAGTTTTTTTTTTTTTTGTAGCCATATATTGGCCCATGAAAGAGCGGTTCGGTGCTTGTTTGCGATGTTTTTTCTCTGCTGCTGTGTGGTGTAAGCATTGGTCGTTTGCTTTGTTGTATTGACTGACTGGAAGTTGTGTACAGAGAATAAAAACACCGGGCCTGGTGGTTCCACTTGTTTTTATGTGCTAGTGGGAGTGAGTTGGTAAAGAGAAGAGAGTTTGAGTTTCCTTGACACTAAAATTTAATTATGTTATATATACAAAAGAGCCACCGAATACTATAGGTGACCATGATTCAGTGCAGGAGAGATGAATAGTAAAGGCAACCTGCATCGCATGGCTGCAACAAAAGAAACATCCCAAACTACTACCAAAAAAACCAGCAGGCAGGATGCTGAGTACAAAGAGCAGCCAATTGCAGCTTACAATGACTAATCCACTGCGCTTACCAGTTTACAGAAGCTTTGTTACTACCCCTGATACTACCACACAGTTACAACTATAGTGTCAGGCTAATCAAAATACAGCTTCTGCTGCTCCCACTGGAAAACTCTCGAGCTAGGCCTTCAGTTCAGTTCACAACTTGTTGTAGCTTCAACCCTAACCGAGAGACAGAGAGTCTCCTCCACCCTCTAGCCGTAACTCACTTCACTGACTAGAGCAGACATGTCCAGCCTTCCCAATTTGTCGAGGAGGCGAAGAACTGAAACTATAGCACTCTCCAGGGGAACAGCCCAATATATTAGTCCCTGCATGATTAGGTTAAAAAATACAAGTTAGATGAAGAATTCGGTCCATAAATAAACACAGAGAAAGCAGCAATAATGCAAGAGGCTATCAAGCAATAGCCAAATTGCATATAATTATATCAAATGAAATCAATGACAAGCAACAGAGTTATAATATGAAGCAGCAGGGCCTCAATCAACAACACTCCAAACTCATCATGGTTCATTCAATCCCTTATTTTGGTTATCCTTTCTGCCAAGCTGAGCAAGGTAGTGTGGTTTTTGTTCCTCCTGCTATCCTTCATAAGCTGCATCATCGAATGAAACATCAGTTTCTTTTGTCATGGATAAACTAGAAATAAGGATGGAAAGACCCGATCCTATCAGTTCCACCACTATCATTCATTTCTTACCACCTCAAAGTATGGAGCTTAGCAATCAGCTTTTCCTAATCGAGGCTGCGTTGCGCATAACTTGTGGAATTGCATCAGCAAGATGCAGAAACACCAATTGTGACTCCTGAAATTGCAGAGAAGAAATGGGTCACTCAATCGAAATCTCAAAACGTTGAAGTTGCCTGCAAACCTTCCATCCTGAAGTGAGGAAAAGAACCCAATCTCTTCCGCTCCCTGCTTCTGCCTCTAATACAAACCATTACCGCAAAAAATATACACAGACATAGTAGTTTAAACCATTAAGTGATATAAGAAGCTTGACAAGCAGTCAAGCAACTATCACTTAGCATTTAGTAAAATGGAAATCAAACAAGACCTCACACCTACCACAAACCAGTCATGTCGAGTTCAATACTGGTGTCGAACTCGAGTAGGTTGCAAAAGTTATCATCGAAGTCGAACATTGGTTGATCAAACAACTCTGATGTTCCACAGCTTGTAAGGAATCCAAATTGAAGATCTCCCGAAAAGTCACCTTGAGGCTGATAAACATCCAAATCGTAAGCTGAAGCTACTGGAATCAATGATGAAGATGAGGATGTCGTGGGATTGTTGATTGAACTTTGAAGGGAAGACATGATCTCCTCTTCAGCATTCTTCGTTGATACAGCAAGAATGTCACAAGGCTCTCCACAAATCAATCCAGCATTCTTCGTTGATACTGCCTGCACCTCACATTGAATTGATACCTGTTCAGCTGAGTGTCTAACAGAGGGCGAGAAAGGAAGGTCACTAGCTAACTCTGCAACCATTTCCGACAATGATGATGACGATGACGATACAGCAGCATCTTCTGTGGCAGTCAAGAAAGCTCCCTCTTCATCCATCCGGAGCCTTTTACTTCCCTTGTTTACAGTCTCCCACAACACCCTTTCATCAACTCTCAACCTTTTCTTCTCCTTGTTTTCAATTTCACACAGCACAATGTCAGAATCCATTCCAGCCAGTGAATACTCATGCATTATCCAATGCCCCACAAGAGCTCCCGAGCCACTTCCTTCTTTCCCTTTCTTCAACTTGAAAACAAACTGTCTCCTAGCCCCAGTCACATTGTTCTTCCCGTCAACAATGGGCGCACCGGCAGTGTTGCCATGCCATTCTCCAATCGATGCTGTCCGCGAAATCCTCTTCTTACTTAACCTCTTAAGCCGGGTGAAGACGAAAAACCTATCTCTTCCTGTTCCGGCATCCCGGGGAAAAATCTCCCACGGAGACTTGTCGCCGTAGAGATCGCAATCTGGAATCACATTGTACGGGAAACTCTCTCCTCTAGCTTTCTTCTTCAGGTAATACTCCACGAGCTCTTCATCGCTAGGGCTAAAGTGATAGCCCACCGGCAGAGACAACAGGGGGTTGGTGGCGGAAGCTGATTCCGCCACCATATTGGATGGATCGCAGTAAAGGGAAAATACAGGCAATGTTGGAGAGAGCGAGAACTGACGAGGCTAGGGTTTCCGGAAACCCTAATTTCTCGAACAACTAGTAAAAAGTAAGAGATGAACGAATTGCGCGTAAGCACTAGAGCTTGGCGAGGTAAGGCAACGGGGAAACAGAGAAAGTGCTTACGAAGTAAAGGTCTGGAAGTGTGATTCCGGAACTCCCAGCGACGAATGCAAATGCCCTTTGAACGGAAAAGTGGATCGGAGGCGGAAAGGACGATCGGAAAAACCAAGAGAGCCGTTAGCGTGATCGCGAGGCGGGGCGGACTTGCCGCCTTTCTCACTTTCGACTTTGCAAAGCTGTTGAGTGTTGAAGAAAGCACATGAAAGAGAAGAGTATGTTAGACTGTTATCGATGCCCGATGCATATAAATAGACCGCGAAATCTGACGGCTCAAGTGCACTCAGGAAGTCAGCAGGAAGGTTCCTTTAGGCCCAATAACAGAAAAGTTGCGACTGAAGCCCAATTTGAGTCACAAAACGAAGGTGAAACAATCTTCTAATCTAACCTCTAACCTAACCACATCTATATGGAGGTTCTTCTCTAGCACCCATGTAATCTATTTTTTCCTGGCTCCTGCACAAACCAAGGAAGGACGCTTTGGACTTTTCAATTTTTACACTAAAATGATTTTGCTTTCGTATTTGGGTATATTTCCGGCCAGTGTGGTGGAAATTTATTCTGATTTTTATTGGATATGTTTTTGCCGCATTATTTTCGTTTCTTTTCTTTTTCTATTACAATACGTTTTCCTTTTGATAGCCTCCTTAATTGCATGCTCTTTCATTTTTGTCACAGATGTGTCTGTGCTATATTCTAATGTAAAGAGATTATTGATTTCTTAGTAAAGAATGTCGATATGTGTATGTATTTGCATTTAAGTTGTGAGGATTATATGACAAAAATTTGAAAAATCTTATTATAAATGACACTCTAAGAAAATCAATTAAGAATGTCATCAATGGTAGGTCGGGGCGATTATATCTCCATTTTCATAGTCGCATGACAAGTCAAGTATTTGTCTTATGGTGAGAGTCGGGTCAGGTCGACCCATATGAATATACAATTTAAAGAAAAACACTTGAAATATTGATTTTTCATTAATGAGTCGAGAAAAATCAACTATAACATGATAAATGCAGTTAAATTATTCAATAGTTGAGTTTCTCCATATTACAACTTTATTATAACTAAAATATGATGTATTAAAAATAAAATTCTAAATAATTTGAGTAAAATTACATACAAATTAGAAAAATTGATCGAGTGCGGGTTAGTTTGAGGGGAGTATTCATTCAAGCTCCATCCTACCTATAGGGCGGATAATACCCGCTTCAGAATAGGTTAAACCTCTATTTTAAGAACCGGATCGGACGTTGAACCGAAAAAGTTAGTGGTTTAAAGTTCAGTGGTTAACCACTACAAAACCTTTGATTAATTGTTGATAGAACCATTAATGATATAACATACAAGAATTGTATATTACACTAATTTAAAAATGAAGTAATCATTGACCATAAACAATCTCAAATTCATATCATCACCAAAATATCTAATAAATCATTAGACAGTCTCACAAATATTTTTGTCAAATGATAATAGGAAGCATAAATAAACTTAATAACTATGATTTTATGGTCTTAGTTTACGTTAAAGTATTTTTTATAAACAATTTGTGGTTAAATCTTGAACCTATAGACCAGTTAAACCATGATGATTCATTTGCTTTTATATTGAAGCGTGAAAAATCATTTTGTCCACCAATAACCATTCAAACAATGAACCGGACCGCTATCGTAAACAAATCAGATAGAACAAAACATGTTAAAATTGTTATCCACTAACATTTGTCATGTGTTGTCTAAATAAAGAGTGAAGAGTATTTTTGTCTTAACTTAGGGTTCGTTTGGAGAACCAACGTTTAAATATTTTGATTATATATCTTTCAAATATTTTAACTCTCCGAATTATTGATTTTTTTAAATGTTTAATGTTTGATAACTATGATTGTTAACATCAATATACATCATATTAGCATTTTTGTTCAATAACGTCATATTTCAAATATATTACATCATTCATATATGGTTATGTTTAGTCTTTAAATTGTCGGATAAAATAGTAAAAAAGAATTGCCTATTGATGATGAAGATAGTGGAGTTGATCAAGAAGATTTTTTATGGTAAAGAAATAATATCCGTAATCTTGGAATACCTATAATACTGAGTCATTAAGTTTATTATGAGGTGATATTCTCTTGCATGAGCTACATAGAAGACATTCTTTACAATGTAATAATCTATATGATGGATGCTCATTTTCAATTTTCTCATACAAGTATTCGTTAATTCAACTGACATTGACATATAATCATGACAGGAATATAAAACAAGAGAAGATCACTATGATTTAAACTTGGAACCTTTGTTATCTATTATTATTATATTGCAACCGGCCAACGGGCCGGGGTACAATCTAGTTTTTTGTGGTATGAAGGTGAAACTAATACGGTGGGTTAATTGCATGGTTGATCATTAAGATTACAAAAAACGTTCAAGTTTGATCACTCGAAATATTTAAATTCATTGGTGGTACTTCAGTTTACTGAAACCGTTCACTTTTGGTCACTCTTCGTCCAACTCCGTTAACTTTTGCTTATGTGACAGTCAACTCTAAAAGTTGACCGTTAAATGTGTGACGTGACAATTAAAAAATAATTAAATAAATAAAATTTATTCTTTTAAAATTTCCACCTCATTTTTTAATATTAAATAAACTTTTGCTTCTCTTCTTTCGTTCAAATTACCCGCTCTTCTTCCTCCTCAACACCCTCGCCGGCAACAGCATCTGCTGGATCAACACCTTCTGCTACAACCTCGTCATCCGCAACTTCCCCTTCCATCAGCAGGTTAATTAATTATCATCCAGTGCCATTTTTATTTTATTTTGCATATATCTCTTGATGCACGCATGCAACGCAGTGCAGGTCGATGTCGGGATCACCAACAGCTATCACGCACTCACATCCAAAAGCCCTCCTCCGCCCTCCTCCGATGTAAAAGCTAACGCCGTGTAACAGAAGAAGAGTTTTCTTCTTCGTCAAAACGAAGCAAACGACACCGTTGAAGAGAATGGAGCGTCGTGGAACACGTGGAACACAGGGATTGGAGTTTTTAGTTTTACCGTTTCTAGCCGTTGTCCTATTCCGTTTTTACTGTTTTCCGAATTTACTGTGTAAAGGACACAACTGTGTTTTGTCCTGTGTTCTGAGACTTTCAATATAAACAGAGGAAGAAGAGAGAAGCAATTAAGCTTTTCGATTCATTGAAACCAAAACCCTAAATCTTCAATATGGTATCAGAGCCTGGTTAGGCTTCTGAGACCTAACCCGCAAACACCCACCGCCGCTTCCCTCTTCTTCCTCTCTTCGTTTTCGTTTTTCTTCCTTTTCTCAAATTCAGTGCTTGATTAAGAGTTTTACCAACAATGACGGACGGACAAGAAGCATTCAACGCAGCTGCAGCAGCCGTCGCCAACATCACGACATATCCACTCACAGATCCTTACTACCTCCATGGTTCAGAGCAGCCAGGACACTCACTGGTCTCACAGACGCTCACACCAACCACCTACACTGACTGGAGTGCGGCGATGATTGATGCCCTAGCCTCAAAGAACAAGTTAGGATTCGTGGATGGAAGCCTTCCAGAACCAGCAGCAACGGACAGACTGCACGGACCATGGATTCAATGCAATTTCATGGTGAAGAGCTGGATTCTCCAGTCGGTTGATGAACTCATCAGCAAAAGTGTTCGGAGTCTCAAGACAGCAGCAGAGGTCTGGCAAACCCTAAAGTCAAGGTATGCACAAGGTGATTTGGTTAGAATAGCAGAGCTACAAGAACAGATCGCTAACCTTAAGCAAGGTACCAGAACCCTTAGTGAGTATCATACCCATTTGATTACTTTATGGGAAGAACTTAAAAACTATCAGCCAGTCCCAGATTGCAGTTGCACTCCTACTAGTCACACAGGATGTCTAGCTATAGCAACAATCAAGGGATATCAGAACATGAATCTGATTATCCAGTTCCTAAGAGGTCTCAATGAGAACTATGCTATACCTAGGTCTCAAGTTCTGTTTTCAGATCCATTACCAAAAATGGACCAGGTATATTACCGAATGGCTCAACATGAAAGGCAAGTCTATGGTAGTCAAGATGGTAACAAAATGGTTGAGAGTGTTGCACTGGCCCTACAGTCACTTGGATTCAAAATGCCAGAAGAGGCACCCAAGAATGAATGGTATCCAAGTAGCACTAATGCAACATATAGGGGCAGAGGTAGAGGTCGATCCAATTTTGGAAACAAAAGGCCCTATTGCACATATTGCACATCCCTGCTACCATAAGCATGGATGGCCGCCTGGAATGACACCATGAAATGCAAGAGGTGGAGGTCAGTTTCAAGCAGCATCAAGACAGGCAAACCTCGTAACTGCTGGAAACCATGAGGGAATTACACAGCAGCAGTATGCAAATTTGCTCAACATGCTTCGGCAAGGGAATTCATCACATACATCATCTGCCTCGGCGTCCACATCAACCAGTCAACCACATACAACTCCTCATTCAGCAGCTGCCTTCATGAGTAAGAGCTACAATACAAGCAAGTGTAGTTTTACCATTCTCCCTCAAAATGTCAATGGCAAAACTGGAGAGGTCTGGATCCTTGACACAGGAGCAACGGATCATGTGATATGTGACATATTTTTATACAGCTCCTGTGTAGCCATTCAAGGAGCAAAAATTTCTCTGCCCACAGGGAATATAGTCACAGCAACCCACATTGGGAAAGTTCAGTTCTCACCAGACATGATACTTGATGATGTATTATTGGTGCCAGAATTCAACTTCAATCTTATCTCTGTGAGTACTTTGACAAGGAACAGCTCACTTTGCCTAACCTTCTTTTCCTGTTTCTGTTTCATTCAGGACACAACTCTGATGAAGGTGGTTGGTTCTACTGAGCTCTCCAATGGTCTCTACAAGATGCACAGATACCATACCATTCCTCACTCCAAAGTAGTAGCCTCTAGTACTGCAAGTATGTTTGATCTCTGGCATTATAGGCTAGGACACATCTCTAAGTCTCGTGTTCCTTACCTTAAGAGATTAGACTCTAGTATAGAAATCAATCATACAAAACCTTGTGATGTCTGTTCTTTTGCTCGCCAAAGGCGTTTGCCATTTCCTCACAATGTTTCAAATACAACATAACATTTTCAAATCATTCATGTAGACATTTGGGGACCAACCCCTCAGCCTTCTTA